AGAATATATGAGAGAAAAAATGGATAGAGAAAGTAGGTTAAACAATATAATAGTGACAGATTTAGAGGGTGGGTTAAGATGGGAAAAGAAGTGTAAGGCTGATTAAGAGACTGGTTAAGAGAGGAACTAGAAATGAAAGAGAAGATAGTGAATCTGAGAAAAATAAGGAGGGTTGATCGGAAAGAAAGGGGAAAAAAGATGTGACAAATTAGATGCGCTTCATGGGAACAAAAAGAAGGAATCATGAAGAAGAAAAAGAAGCTGGGACAGAAAGAGATCTTTATAGATCAGGACTGGACGTGGAAGCAGAGAAAGAAAAGATAGGAAGTAAGAAGGAAAGCGAGAGAAATAAAAGGTAAAGATGTGGCATAACGGGTTGAAGTCAGAGGAAGAAGAATGGTGGTGGAGCAATATATTTGTTAATTTGTAATGTATGTATGTTTATTGCAACTACGTAATTAATGTATACTCTGGTAAATAAATAAATAAATAATTATAATAGTATAAATAAATAATTATAAAATAAATAAATAATTATAATAATAATTATAATAATTATAATAAATAAATAATTATTATGTTCCTACAATTCTGGTTGTATTATGTGAATTGAAATCGCCAACAAAAATACAGTTATACTACTATTATAATTATTCTTATAATATTATTATATACTATATTATATTATTAGTATTAGCATGTTACGTCTTGATAAAGCTTACACAGGTAGAATTGATATAATCACAACTTAAATTTGTATGTCTTTGTTGCTGACTCTGTGGAAGAACTCTTCACACGAAGTTAAGTGGCATAGGTGCGCAAAATTAGCTCATAATTCAAAAATCGCAACCGATTCGTGAGAGCGCGTAAACGTAAAATGAATCCAAATGCATGAACGTCAGTACGAGCGGAGCGAATTACCTACGTCAAATATCTAATTTCCCTAACTCGCAACGAGCCAATATGGAGAAATTAGCGCTTCTGCGATTCATTTTCTGTCAACAATAGTCAGTCTAGTTCGAACATCATGACTACTAAATAATACAACTCTCTTTCAATAAGTGTTAAATAAGATACGGCTCAGCTCTACTCTATTTTTCTGTCATCCTATTTTTTTTTTTTTTACGAAACAAATGTCTAATCATACAATTGCACCCAGCAATTCCACGTATTCTCGTTTTATAATTGCCAATCCTTCGACGAATTTATTATGTATGATTGGCTGAGAATGGCACATTCGTGCAACGATTGTTTCTCCATATAGAAGGAATCACATAAAATCCACAACATTGAAAATAAGGAATAAAAACTGCGCCACAGCTTTCTTAAAGAGAATATCAGAGCCAGCCGAACAAAAAAATAGAAAAATAATATATCCAATTGAGTACTTTATCTAATACATCGATAAGTATAGGTTATGAGAGTTGGTAGCTAGATAATAAGTTATCTAAGATTACATTTTTGTTATTAATTTATTTAATTTACAGTATTTTTGCTAATTTTATTACTTTCATGCTATTGAATACTATTTCCGTATATAATCCGTATAAAATACATAAACCTTTGCTATTCGTGTAGACACGTGAATTATCTCCTTATAAAATAACATAAAACAAGAAGTAACAGCATTACAGAGAATTTTGTTTCACTTGATCTGATATAGTACGTGACCGGGATAACAGAAGAGCACATTTGTGGGAAGAGAGATGTTTGTTTTAATGCCGCACAATTCGACTGTATCGTCCGTACTGTAGCCCTTGATTCTATATTACGTTAGTAAAGTAAATAGTTCGGACTCTAATTATTTTATTCGTAATCGCGTTTCCGAGAGTAATAAAGAAGTTGTTGCGTGAATACTTTAAGTATTGATATTTCAATAATCACCGAATAGCGAACACAGTATTCCCTGTTTCGATGAGCCTTTTAAAATACAATTGAGTATTGTTGCATCTATTGAGGAAAAGCCCGACAGGGTCGAAACGAATATTCAATTTAATTTATAGGCAATTAATAATTTCAGAGCGGAGATAGTCTAGCTTTTTTTTTCTCATAAGAGAGAGAGAGAGAGAGAGAGAGTTATTAGTTGAGCGCTTAGATTATCGTAAGGAAAAGGAATTAGTAGGCTAACCACTGAATAATGAAATCAGTCTCAGGAAATAGCCGAGTCTTTATTTCGTTCAATGCTCGCGCTGTTAAGCAAAGTAGGATAGTAAATCCTCTTGCCGCAGCGACAAGCGAATTTATACTTGCAAAATTGGCTCCTTTCTACGCTTTGTAGCCCCTACAACGCTATTTTTGATATTAGCATAAACTTTGTACAGGTTTTGTCGTAAAATGGCTCGATTGAAATTGAAAATTAGTGATTTAAAAAATGAAGTATACAATAACAAATTTTTTAATATAAATCGTTTCTCAAGGAAAAATCGCCTTTTAAAATTATATGTGATATAAGTTAGATATTTAAACATATATATTTTTATAACACAGAATTTATAATAAATTTACGGAAAATTTTTACATAAAAAAATCGCTTGTAATAAGTGGAACATTATTCAAAATAAAAACGATTAATTTAAAAATCCATTTTTGAATAATAATTAAAAAACAAATTCGTAAATTTCACTTTCAGCCATTACGAGAGGGTACAGCCGCCTTGCGCCTTGGGCTGAACTCTGCTAATTTTTATCGGGTTCAATCGCAGTAAAGAAAGCCGGCGCTGACTTTCACAGGCCGACGCTCGTTCCGGTTAGGGAGAATGATTCAAATAAATGAATCATTAATTAAAATATAATAATAATAATACTTGACGATCTTATTTATTGACGCCCTTTACAAACATACGCTACAAAGTTCTCTTTTCCATGGCAAGCGCGCTCGCTCAACCTTTTCCGCAACCAGAATTCGTGGGATCATGCGATCTCGCTCGCATGATCCAGTCGGTGGAGAGACGACGCCGGTGAAAGCGTAGTCCAGCAGGAAACGGCTCCGTGGGAATTCTCGGTGTTGCTGCAGGAAGGGCCGCAGCACGGCTTCTGCCTCGTGGACGGCGAATGGTTGCTGCTTGTATTGGCTCGACTGCTGATGAATTCCTCCTCCTGGCCATCGTAGCAATGGCACTTGTGGCAGCAGTTCTCCTGCAGAAATCTTAGTCCGGTCCTGTCTCTCTCTAGACGGCCCTAATTGTTCGAGAGCTCACGCCTAACTGCCCTTGTTCGCACTTAATTTCTAAGCCACGCGCCACCGCGCTCCCACTTCTCTTGCCGCCAAAAATCGGCCGATATCGCTCTCTCTCTCCTCGCTCTTCTCGCTCTCACTCGCATTCTTGGCGATACTTTTTCGACCGTCGCACTCCTCTCTCCCGATCCTGCAATGACACAAGTATGTGGCCGCTATATAGCACACGCTTGGTCGCTGCGTTCATGTGAGGAGAGTGCCGCACATAGGGCTAGCGAACATCGCTATAACCCTGTCACACCATTATAAAATCAACAAATGGGTAAATCGTTATTATCAATTTTATAGATATTATTTATTTATATTATTAATAAATTAATAATATATACATATATTACCAGTCCACGCAGTCATTAAACGAAAAAATACCGAGCAAATTAGAATTCGATCGTACTGATATGCGTGAACAGAGAACCATTCGCAATCTCGCCAATATTTACTTTAAGCTCGGGATAACGACAACACGTCTGCTCATTACGACTGCTCAAATAAGATTCTGATAGCGTTTTTCTTAAATATCTATTATTATTGTAAAAAATACCAAACTTGCATTGTATAGTTACCATATATATATATATATATTACAACGGTAGTCGATTCAATTAATTGAACCGTTCGCGATTCTGATTTTCGCGCGTTAGTTCTAAGTATTGAGAGAGAGAGGGGGCGCGCGATCTTTCAAATTAGCAGTTACGTCTCAGCTGTTGTGACAAGTAGATATCGCCGAAGTTATTTGCACTATTTTTTCTCGCCGACTAATAGTTTCTTGTCCAATAATTACGCGCGTGAGTGCAACAACGAGACCTACGGATTGTAGCGTTTTGGTAGCAGCAGATTTGCAGCTGATAGGTGGTACGAGGCAGCACAGCTGATAACCTAGGACCGGAGGCAGTTGATATTTTGTTGACATCAACAATTACGGCTGATCACCGTAATTGCACCGCAGGGTAGGTGCACCTCCCTTTATTATCGCGTGTCAAAATATATTTATTATTTTGTTCAGCCGCGTTAGCGTTGATGATTTTGTATTCGCGCCGAGCGTTAGATCGCGCCAATTTTCGTATCTTCTCTCTCTCTCTCTTTCTCACCGAAAGTTATTTAATTGTAAATCCTGTTCGCGTGCGTCAGTCTTTCGGCCCGATAAAGACTGTAGAGATTTTTATTAATAAAATCTATTAAAATTATTCGCCGATTAAAATAATAAATAGATATAACAATATCTATTTATTATTAATACTATAAATTACTAATAGATTAAACAATTGAAATAGGCTTAAGTTTTAATCTGATCATAGCTAGGGGATTAAGTGGATTAGGAGCAAAGTCGATTACACTTAAAACTCATCGTGTGTCACAGGGCACGTGACTTAAGGTGAGTTCAACTCCGCTTGATCGAAGACAACCAAGTTAAGTCAGCTGACGTTAAGGCGAATACACGTATTAACATACGTGTTAACGGAGCGGCGGTTTGCTCTGCATCGTGGGAGTTTGCTCTTAAATAAATTTCTCATTTTGCAGGTTTATCCCCCCGTTACAATATATATATATATATATATATATATATATTTATTCTATAGTTATTAGCAACTATATAGTTTCTTACATTTACAGTTCTTATATTAATGATTAGATAAAAAAATGAAGCAAAAGACTTGCAAGCTTAACTAATTTTTTCGTTAAAAGATGTGTGCAAATATACAAAATATTAAAATTTAAGAATATATTAGTAAAAATTTTTATTTTACTAAAAATTTTGCTTTTTACAGCAAAAGTGAAAGTTGTTATTCAGCAATAGAAACTGGAAAGTGGAATGACTACATAGTTCGTGCACTATCTACAGAAAAAATTAAGGAGTCCTATGAATACATCCTAAAAATAAAAGATAAAAATAAAGACATACAAGTTATAGGTCGATTGTCGAATAATAACAACAAATACGAAGTAGAATGGGGTATTCGTTCACCAACAATTTTATCCCAATCAAATAATTTTTTAGATAGTATCTTGGATAGATTGAGAAAAAAATTAGACGATAAAAAGAAGGCGATTTGCATGACTTCCACTGAAGTTTATAAACAAATCAACCTAATCAATAAAAATGAGAAAAATATAATGGTGAAATCAGAATTGACTGCTGCAGAATGGTGGACAATGGTAAGTGGTTAAACATCAACAATGATCAAAACATAATATTATATGTCAAATAGAGTTTGAATTTAAAGAAGTGTTATGAAAATATTATCAATATGTTGAAAATTAACCGTTATTTTGCTATCATTTTTTGAAATCCGGTAGATGATAATAAACCAAAAAATATTTACGTTTATTTTGACTTATTTAAAAACGCATTGCAAAGGGGTTAAAAAGTTTGATAGGGTTAAAAAGGTAAGAATTTGGATTTGTGGAATAGTAAACCATTGGAAATTTTTAAAAGAACATAAAACAAACGTATGCTGCCAATTTAAATTTTTTATTTATAGTAAAAAATCATTAGAACCACGTGTATCGTATCTACTATCACAAGCCGACAAAATTTGGAAAAGTTCTACGTCCAGAGATCATTCAAAATATTTCTGAAGGTGCTCTGCCTTCAATCCAAGCTTAGCTTCATCACACTTAGTTTTCGAGATGGACATCATATATAGTTATGGAGATGGATATGTTAGGATTAACCTAAAAATGCTAAAAACGTTTTTTTTACTGTTTTCCAAGAATCGTAACTTAATTAAAAAAATGTTTTTTGCAAATGTAACTACATCTGAGAAAGCAACTATTGTACTTCAAAACGTACTGCTCTTTTTTTCAATATCATGTTTTTTTGACAATGATGTGACACATTGAAATACGAGGTCTGTCCGGAAAGTATCGGGCCTACCTTTATATTTTCGTGCTAGCATTATTTTTTATCATCTGGTGGCTGGCATGCTTCAAAGTAATCCCCACTTGATTGAATAACACGGTTCCATCGATGTTTCCACTTTTCAAAACAGTCCTGGAACTCAGTTTTAGGGATAGCCTTAAGTACACTCGTCGCAGTGTTTTCAACCGTTGTTTTGTCATCGAATCAGTGTCCTTTGAGTGGTTTTTTTAGTTTTGGAAACAGCCAAAAGTCACAAGGGGCTATGTCGGGACTGTATAGAGGTTGTCGAAGTAATGCGATATTGTGTTTGCTCAAAAACTGCTGTACAAGACTGGATCAATACGCTGGCGCATTATCGTGATGGAGAAGCCAGTCACCACTTTCCCAAAAGTACGACCGTTTTCTTCTTACTGCATCACGCAAACGTTTTAAAATTTGAACGTAGTATTTTTTATTGATTGTCTGACCTGTTGGTGCATATTTGTGATGTACAACACCTTCACAAATGATAAGACCGTCCATATATTAAAAATATATATTCCTAAATTTTCTAAAAAATTTTCTAAAAGAGTCTACCCCTAAACCCCGTTAAAAGGGAATAAATTTTGCATTTTTCGATTTTTTTAATTGAAAAAATTGACCATTCATGGAAGTTATAGGATACTTTGAGCCCTACAAAATGCCTTTTTTCAAGAAAATTTTGGAACGAAATTAACAGGACACCGCAGAATCCTTATGTAAAATGGTTTCGGTCAATTTTGCTGAAATTTTGTTAAATAATAGTTAAAAATACGTAGAACAAGTCTCCGTGGCCACAAATCACGAAAGTTCAATGTTCGCGAGTTGTACCGTTTGTAAGCGGTCAAAATCGAACATTCTGAACGATACCATTAATAACGTGGATACAGTAAAAGTGTTCTTATTAATATATTTATTTATATTATTACGAATGCGATTCTTAATATCTAATTCGTACGTTTGTATCCACGGCAACGTCAGAGTAAATAATTTGTTGTTGTTTAGTTAGTTTACGTCTGAGCATCAAATTGGAAGCATCACGTTTAACGTTTTAACTTTATATTTAATAAAGTTTTAAGCCTGTATTATTTGTGTATTTTATTTATCATACGTAAACGTAACATTTGGGGGGCTCGTCCGGGATTTGAACCCGGGATGTTAATACAATCTGTCGCATTGAATTAAACATTTCTCAGAAAGAGAAGTTCAAAGAATTCCTTGTTCAACATAAATAATCTTATTAAATTAAAGATTCTTTTCCTTTGCCAAATATTTCAGAAATTCTCGATGACCCACAAGGGTATTCTTGGTTTTCGACATTAGATTTAAAGTTTAGATATTTGCAAATTAAACTCAGGTCTCAGGATAAAGAAAAAACAGCATTTTCTGTAGGTAATGGTCTTTGGGAGTTTGAGGTTATGGCTTTCGGTTTATGCAATGCTCCAGCTACCTTCGAAAGGTTAATAGAGGATATTCTTCAAGATTTGATCCGCAAAGTTTGTTTAGCTTACTTAGACAGTATTACGGTTAAGGCTAAGAGCTTCGAAGAAATGTTACACAATTTGGGTCAAGTTTTCTCACGTTTAGGTGAGGCGAATATGAAGCTTAACCTTAAAAAGTGTGAATTCTTTAAGAAGCCGAGTACCTAGGTCATATATGTCTCAAGAGGGTATAAGAAGGTTTCTGCTGTCTTGAATCGGCCAATTCCTAATACAAAGAAACAGATTAGGAGTTTTATTGCGATTCTCTTCATATTCAAGAAGGTTTGTCCCAAATTTTTCTGACATTTAAGCCTCTTTATAAGTTGACTGAGAAAAACATTCCATTTGTTTGGACTTCAGAATGTCAGAAAGTTTTTGATAAGTTAATGCAGGCCTATTACATCCCCTCCTATTTTAGCATATCCAGATAAAGTAGTATATTTAGATGGCGAATTTATCTTAGATACTGATGCGCCAGGACATGGGATTGGTGCTGTTCTTTTACAAATTCAGGACGGTGTAGAACGAACAATTGCATATTATAGTAGGATTTTATCCAAGGCTGAGAGTAATTACTGTGTTATTAGAAGAGAACTTTTAGCGGTTATAGTTCTTCTGAATATTTCTCCCAATATCTCATTGGTAAGAAATTTTCAATTCTTACAGATCATTCAATTCTCCAATGGCTAATCTCTTTCCGGAATTTAGATGGTTAGTTAGGTAGGCGGTTAGGAAAATTAAGTTAATTTAATTTTGAAATTATTCATAGGAAAGGATCTTCTCATTACTATGCATTACTATGCAGATGAACTTTCACTGTAGATATTGCTCAAAAATTGAAGACAACTACTGTTGAGAAGGTAGTTGGTCGAATCTGTCTTCTTGAGAATAATCCTGATTGAAAAATAAAACAATTAAAAGACTAGAATATTAGTGTCCTACTTAATTTAAAAGGGAGGATAAATGCCATGATAGACGTATTATTTCTTCAAAAAGTCCTTCTTTTAATTTTTATGTTCTTCAATGGGATTCTCTCTATGTTTATAATGATCTTTTGAGACGTTAAGAATCAAACGATTTGAAAACATGTGTGTGGCAATTGATTGTTTCAAAGAGTAGGAATGAAGTCCTCATAGAAGCCCACGGTTCTTCTACTGGTGGCCACTTTGTTATTAACAAAACTTTGGACAAGGTTCGACGTCGTTTTTACTGGGATTCCTGTAAAAGAGATGTTGAAAATTGGTGTAAGAGTTGGGATCTTTGTATTGCTAAAAAGGGACCACCAGAAAGAGGTAAAAGTGCCTTACAGATTTATAATATTGGAGCTCCATTAGAAAGACTTCAAATTGACATTTTAGATAAAATATCTCCTTCGCTGGGTGATAGGTATTTAAAGGTTATAGTTAATTGTTTTACCAGACGGCCTGAGGTAGTTACTTTAAAAAATATTCGAGTCAAGACGAATTTAATTTAATTTAATTACTCGGGCATTAGTCTCCCAGTTCATTTCCCGTCATAGAGTTTCCTAAGAAATTTATACAGATGAGGGTAGAAATTTTTAGTCAAATTTGTTTAGAAAATCAACAGTTTTATTGGGTATCCATAAAACTAGAACTACAACTTTACACCCACAATCAAGTTGAGCGTCTTAATAGAACAATTCTGCAGTATTTGTCGTTGTTGGTTTCAGAGAATCAACGGAATTGGGATGAACTTATTCCGCTCTTTCTTCTGATGTTTTATTATTCACAATATGAGACAATAAAATCTTCGGTTGCCCATTGATTTGCTCCAAGTATGCCCACCCTACGTTGTACCCGAAACTCCCTAAGGCAGGTAAGTTGGGCGCTGCCTCTGCAAAACTCGGATCCTCAGTTCGGGTTGATATGTAGCTGTCACCCCTCCTGTTTACTGGATGGCGCTGGGTAGGAGTCCCAGCAAAAATGCGGAAGATACTCGTACTAGTTGTTCGATAATTCGATCGAAGAGGAAGGTATAGCACGAAAATAAATTCGACGAGAAAATAAAATTAAGAGTGTCACTTTCATTCCAGAAACATCTAATTAAAGTAAGAATGCACGTCCGAACGAGTCGAGTGATGGGAGTGACTGACTGCCCCACTGCTTTCAGTGTCGATTGGAACAAAGATTCCCCCTACTTGGTTAGATATCGTCAGCACTTTCTCGTTGGTAATAAAGCAGGAGAGAGCTACCCAGGCTCTCTAAGCGTCTAGACTCGATAAGCATATATCGGCTAGACGGATTGGGTGTCAGCCAGGTGGTCACTCGCCAGTCTTATCATCTAGACGGGTTGGGTTCGATGTCAGCCAGATGGGCACTCGACAATCTCATCGTCTAGACGAATTAAGTGGCACCCAGGTGGCCTCTGTTGACTGTGCGAAGCAGATAACGAGTGCAAGTTGCGGGGAATACTAAAATGTGTATCTGCATTTTATTTTTGGTGGGAAAGAAGTTATTACATAGTTGCTAGTTGTATCGTGAGCACGTGGATTACACGGAGTGTGAGTTGATAGAATGACGTCTACGTAATATACTATAATTAGCGTCTGTATATGACTCTGTTACTGAATTAGGGGGTGTGTGTATGTGTGTGTGTGTATTTTTATAATTACTAGTTATGTTGTACATCAATCATAAACGGCTGACGATGGTTCAAAGGTGATTTGATACTCTTATATTTATAATCTATATGGTATTTATAATCCATATGTTAGTACGCAGCAGAGATTTCTACCGTGTAAATAGTTAGTAACAATGTTTACTAGAGTGTAGGTG